TCAACCGCGGCCATGCTCGCAAGAACCTCAGCAGATCTGACCGCACACGTCACCCAGGACAGATTCGCACTCGCTCACAACGCTTACACCCTAACACGACGGTCTATTTAAACATTCTTCGCCCTCCCTATTCGGGAATCGGCATCCAGCAAGCAAGAAGGCGCTAGAAGTAGTCGCTTTCTATTGCATCTGTGAAAACTTCCGTGGATTAGTAGTCTCTGAAAGTGGTGATGTTGACTGCGACTACCTAGATAATTTTGAACAGCATGGAGATTGTTGAAGTTGGGTGGGTGGTGGTGGTGGGGTGGGGGGGAGGCAGGAAGGAGAGGAGCAGGTTGCAAAACATATTCCCGTGGTTTTCTGTGGTTCGCGTAGTTCCCAAGGTTGTTTCTCATCTCCGTTGTTGTTGGCAGGGCTCTTGGGATTCGCAGAGCCGACGATGGAGGTTGTGCCTCGTGCGACGATTGTGCAGATTCGTGAATCTCCTGACAGGTCGCAAAAGAGTGGCGAATACAAAAACGCAACAGGATATCGAAGAAAGCCCTTGTGCGAAAGTTGTCAGCTTCCGCAGGAAATCATATCGCCGAAGCAAAGTAACCACACAACTGTCAAACTGGGGTCTTGGCTGGTTCTGATGCTCGGTGGTTGGCGTACGAAACCCCATCAACCACTCAAATGTCGTAGCCGCATGGTGCGACAGCTGTGCATTGCACAAATAATATTCCCAGTCCAGCTGCTATTCTATAGTCCCATTTGATTAAAGCTTTGGGAAAGTATATATAACTTCATAATGGCAATTAATGCTCTACCCACAGCACAGTGCTAAGGGCCAGCAGCGCACTTTTGTGCTCCGCACGGCCTCTTCAGCATGTGCATCACCCATCGCCCTAAGACCCTCCTAACCCCGGCACCATTCTATTTGGTGCACCACATCAACCCAAAAGCAGTCAGGCCTTCTGCCAGTCACACTGGATCAAGCAGCTCCAGGAGAAATGCAGTGCAGCTCAGGAGCTACCAGTAGGTAGCCATGGTAACATTGGACTAACTCCTTGTGCTATGCCAGGAAGTGTGTGCACTTGCGTGCATGTGTGGATGGCGGTGGATGGCAGTATGATGTTGAATCAGCAGAATGTTGGATCAATGGCAGCTCCACGGCAGAACAGCACTTGATGCGCAAAAGTACAGTGGTGATGAGCGACACCACCAGGTTCTGTTGGAAACCCATCCTCATTTTCTAGGCGTTATACTTCTTCAGGAACTTTTCAAGGCGAGGGTACTGCACAGGAGACCAGGACAAGGCAGGGAAAAAGTCCTGTCAGTCAAGCTCGTTATGGTAGTCCCCACACAAGGCAGGGAACGAAGGGTTGTAACAAGGAAGCGAACACAAAGACACGACAGGCATGGCGGAAGTTGCACAACAGAATCAGGGCAGGGGCTTACAGTCTTGATGGTCGCGCAGACGGCGTCGAGCCTGGTAGGCTGGCCTCGGTAGAAGTGGAAGAACGGGAGGATCTTCACTCCCAGGGCCTTGCCCAGGTCTCTATTATCCGCCAGGTTGAACTTGAGGAAAACAACATCGGGGTTCTTCTCAGCGATTTCGCACACCGTTGGGTACACGGCCTTGCAAGCATCGCACCACGGCGCGAAAAAATCCACAATGACCAGCCGCCCCTCAGCCGATCCCATGGCCGCGCCGGCCGCCATGGATACTTCCATCATCACCGCCTCGAACTCTTCAGCCGTGCGCAGCCCCGCAACGGGGATATCCGCGACGTTCGCGGGGGACTCTTCCTGGAACCACTCCTTCTGCCGCCGCATGCGCGGAAGCGCAAGAGTCAGCGCGGGCATGGCGGGGAGCGCGGGGAGGGACGCGAGCCTTGGGAGAGATGAGAGGATCGCGGAGGCGGAGGGCGCGGCGGAGATCCCGCCAGCCATCTCGGCGGTAACGGCGGCGGAGGCGGCGACGGTGACGTTAGTCGCGGAGCACACGTGGGAGTCGCGCTGGGAGTTTCCGCCGGTTACTGCCGCGTTGGCGGAGCTGGTCAAGGGGGCCATGGGGGCGATGGTGCTCATGGGGGAACCATGCGCCGCATGCTGGTGCGGGCTCGAAGGCTGCGCCGATCCGCGCGGGGACGTTCCTTGGGAGTTCCAGGACTGCGCGGGGAGCACGGAGAGCAGCGGGGCGTTGGCGGAGCCGGACGCACCGGGGGCAAGCTCGTCGGAAGGGAGACCGCGCCCGCCGCTGGAGCCGGCGGAAGAAGCGGTGACGATCACCCGGGAAACGCGGGGGGACGATGCGCGCAACCTTTGCGGAGATGGGCGGCCGCGTGGGGGGGTCATGGACACTCGGCTCCTTGGAGTGGTGGCACCATCGCGACGAAGCGCGGTGCCCGTCATTGCGGAACCCGCGGCACTGCCGAGACCGAAGAAGCTAAAGGAGGCAGAATCGTCGAAGTCACTGGCGCCGCTAGCGCCGCAACCCACGGGGATGACAAGGTCGGAAGGTACGACTCGTTGGCGGGTGCCGCTGGTGCCGGTACAGCGGCGGGCGAAAACGGGGGACGCGGGGCGGGCGGAGGAGCCCAGAGCGACAGACGACGGCGTAACCATGGTAGCGGGAGGGGATGCGGAAGAGAAACTCGGTAGGTCGGAAAACGCTGGAAGATCGCTGTGAACTAGATTAAGTATGGAGGTGTCCCGGGGGGATCACGATCACACGAATCCTTGATACATAAAACACACAATCACGTCACGAGAGTGGGCGATGGAGCGCAGCGGGTGGGCGCCAAACCAACACTCGATCTTACAATGTGTATACGAGAAGTGCGGGGCGCAATTAAACATTCACTCGAAAGCACTGGAGAACAATCGTCACGGTGAAAGAGAAGTGGGTAGGGAGGGCAATGGGCGGGGCCTGAGTCGATCAGACTGTCACTTCGCTGAGTGCTCGAATCAGCGAGCCGAGCGCGAGATTGTGTCTGACAGGATGTATTAGGATGTTATGTAAGGTACTAGGATAGGCTGGGTGGCAGCAGACTGCTGATTTTGAATTGTACTGGATGTCAATGCAGGAGAGGTTTTGAAGGATCCGCGCGGGACGGGAGACAGGATGTCGAACGAGAGATCAAAATCGAGAGTTGGAGCGGAAAAAACGGATCAAAAAACGGAAACAGGCTGGGTTGGGTTGGGGGCCTACTGGGCCTGCTGCAGACTACGGGGAGAGATCATCTCTGGTGCTGGATGGAATGGTTCGCCCAAGTGAGCATCCTGTCCAACCAAGGAATTGGGGTGGGGTGGGGTGGGGTGGGGTGGGGTGGGGGGAAGGGAGAGGAAAGAGCCACACGACACGACACTGGCAGGATCAGGAACAGCACATATGTGGTGGGGGGCTGGGCTCGGCGGGGTTGGTGGTGGGAGGAGTCCTCAACAGTGATGGGTTTCCGCCGTGTCGCATGTGGCAAGGCGCATGACGTAAAAGACGGGAACGATGCGAGCGAGCTGGCTTTTCGGAGTGGGTGGAAGAGTTTTGGCGAATTGTGGTTCTGGAGGGAACGAACGAGCCAGCGGTAGTCCTTGAGGGGAACGAACGAACGGTTGCTGCTTTTGCGAAACGAACGAGGTTCACGAAGTGCCCACATGAGCACCTGAATGGTTGGTAGAATGTAACATTCGTGATCGACGACGACAACGACGACGCGATTAGGTGGAATGGGCTCCAATCGATGTTCTGCAATATGCCGTTACCTGATTGGACAACTAATCGGACGGACTTGGGAAACATACGGCGTGCGGCAATCGTACCGTATCTGCGGCGCGTCCACGCGTGCCGCGCCGAGCTCCTTTTTGCTTTGCGATTGGAAAAAAATGTTTTTGATGTGATAGCCCGTTGCGACTGGGTGTGCGACGATGGTGAGCAGCTGCTTACTGAACTGTATCTCTCAACGGAATCGGGGGTGGCGCTCCGTTGAGATATACTAATCGGAAGACGGAGGTATATACAATACAGTACCTGCGAAAGACGGAGGCGCGTCGCTACTGGGGCAGCTGCAAATTGAATCACGAACATCCAACCAGACCAATCTTCCGCGCCGCAGGGCTCCACTTTCTGCGGAATACCGAGGGTCCTGCGCGTCCTCGTCAACAAGCGCCGAAGCCTCCTCGTCCGGTGTGACTGGTTGCCGTTTTGCAAATAGTGAGGCCCTCAGCTAATCTACACCGTTACCATCACAGACGATGGTCAGAAATCGCTGCATTCGTAAGAATTCACGCACAAATCAGGGACCACGAACTCCGTGGTGTCCTCGAACTGAAGTGACGTGGCCGACAATGTGACAAAGAGCATGCCAAAACAGCAGCAGCTCTTTCCCACGTGGACCTATTTCACATGTACACCACTTCGTGCCAGTGAACCATATGGTTGGAACACCATACCATACCATACGAATGCTATGTCCAATGCTCGAATGACAATGCTCTTGCTCTCCGCCTCACGGCAGCCATGGATTCTGCCGAGACCCTGGAACTCGCCAATGTACCACCTACTGTACGACATTCCCGCTAACAACATAACCATTGAGATCGTCTTCTCTCATGGTACCAGTGGATATTTTTTAAATGTTCAAACAGCGAACATTTGTCCCTATCCCCTGAAGACGAGCAGAAGTCATGGTTTTGGGATTCCCGTGCGAGGTGTTTCCAAGGTGGCGTTTCCAAGGTTTCAGGCTACTATCGAGGCTCTCATCAGGCAACAACATGCAGACATTGCTTCTCCTACAAAGGATGTTCTTTTCGTGCTCAGTTTTTATATATCGCCAAGACAGCACTGGCTTTGGTGGTTGTTTTATCATCATTGCACGATTGCTCCCCGTGTTAAGAAGGCTGCTGCTGCTGCTGCTGTCACCGCGGCTACCGCTGTTGCTGCCTCGACCTCTGATGGGGTTCCGTTGGCTTCTGCTTCCTTTGCTGCTCCGCCGGCGACGACTCCAGCCAAGCCAAAGACTATGTCAAGGCTTCCTCTTAAGTCTGCTACTGCCATGAAGGCGTCCAACGGTCCTTTTCCGCCGGATGAATCTGAAGCTCTGACTCTCTCGGCGAAGCTCGCAGCCATCCGCATTGAGGAAGCTGCGAATGATAGCAGGAAGGGTAAGGAGAAAGTTATTTTCAAGGATGCTGTTTCTGACGCTGCTCCTGATGGGGAAGATGTATCCCATGGCGATGAGGATGATGATTCACGCGACAATGCTGAGGATGGCTCGGGTCCATCGGGGGTTTCTCACCTGCTCAACGATGAAGACGATGGGCTTATTGCCTATGATTCTGACGAGGAGGTTGAGGAAGCGTCAAAAGGGGAGATCGCGTCACGCTCTCGTTTCCCGATCACCCTTCTGATCCCTGAAGAGTTTTTGCTGGAAGTACCTCGCACACAAGCAACGATCAAGGGATTGGTGGGGATATGGAAGGATGAGCTGTCAGATGGGGCTCTGGTCACCACGACGTACCAGCAGCTGTCGTCCGGTTTCCTGTACAAGAAGTATTATGGTCGCATGCAAGTTACTTTTGACAAGGCATCTGATGCTAACTTTGTGTGGCGTAATCAGGTTGAGCATAAGTGCAAGAATGGAACATACGTTACCTTTGACTGGCAATATCCGGAGGATCCCGCTTTTGCCAGACAGAAGGCGCAGAACTCGGCGGTGATTGAGTTATACTTCAAAGAGGTCCCTGCTGAGATTTCTCCAGCGATGCTGCATGGGATGCTGATGGCTCCGCTCAAGAAGAAGAAGAAGTCGGTGTTTAAGGAAGGTCTTTGCTTTCACCGTGCGGTTAACTCTGTTACCGGCCTGGACACGGATCGGATCAAGGGGCTGGTGGTTGCTCACGAGGGGGATATGTACCGCTGGAAGCATTACATTGAGAACCCGCTTAACAAGGACGAGATTCTGCTGATTTATTACCCGACTTTGAAGTGCAGCCTGTGCGGAGGACATCACTCGATTCACAACCACAATGATTTCGTCGTCGAGCGTCAGAACAACATCACCAAATGGCACCTTACCATCGGGAGGGTCCATGAGCTGAATGGTAGCTGTGCTGTTTGCGTTGTAGCTGAAGGAGTTTCGCACGTTTCGCTGTCGTTTTCCACTTGCCTTTTTTACCAAGTACTCACACCGTTGCTGCGCAGCTGCTGCGACCACTGCATCAGATGCGACCAAGATTATCCTCAAGGACCCGTCCCTGGTGCTTATTTCCACCAGTGGCAATCGGGAGGAGTGGGTTTGCCTTCAGGACAGCTGCAAGAAGGCTCATGGTTCGTCGTTCGAACAGGCTGCGCATCACGCGCTGTCCCAGCGGCACCGTCATGGGGTCCCGAAAGGAGGAGAGTCGCTCCGGTTGTTGAAGGGGAAGATCAACCTCAAGCACCTGAAGAAGGATTATGGGGTGTAGAAGGAGGAAGGAGAGGCAGAAGCTGCATGTTCGTTCCACCCGTGTCTGTATGTGTCTTTTATAAAACTGTTGTCCGTGTCTCACTCAGCCCGTGGATGCTTGGGGCTTCTCGGCGGTTTCCTAATGAATAAAGCCTCTTACCTGTCGATACGCGAGCTCAATGTCAACGGGCTCGGGAGCAGAGGGAAGCAGAAGCATCTGAAGGCATGGCTAAAGAAACCACCTGATATCTTCGTCTTAGCTGACACACGGATTGGTGTTGACCACGATTTCTGGAAGAAGCTCAAAGTCCCTCACTGCCATGCGATCGGTCCTGCGGGGAAGGCAGGGGGGGTTGCCATCTTAAGTTTCAATAAGTCTCTTGTTTTCACTAACATTGTCACTCACAGCTCGGGTCGGCTGCTTCAGGCTGATGTCCAGTGGGACTCTTTCTACTGCACGATCCTGGCTGCTTACTTCCCGGCAAAGGCTTGCAGGCGTCGCCCGTTTTACAACGGGGTGCTCGCTCCTTTTATGGCGCATTCTGTGGGGAGGAGGAATTTTATTTTGATCGGGGATCTTAACATGGTGGAGGACCCGCTACTGGATAGATCATCTGGAGCGGGCTCGTCTGGTGAAAATGGCAGCGTGCTGCGGATCTGTTCAGCGCACTGCCTCACTGACGCTTTTCGCTGGATGAATCCGGTGCTGCGGGAGTTTACCTTTCTGTCCAGGTCTGCCAAGACCAGCTCACGCATTGACCGAGCTCTCGTCTCGGCGCCACTTTTGCCGTCGCTCTCGGAGGCGTCGCACTGTCGGCCGCTGAAGGGTCTTTCAGACCATTGGTTCGGGGTGAAGGTGTCCTTCAAAATCAGCCTGCAGCTATGCATGGGGCCTGGAATATGGAGGTGCAAGGCAGCAGAAATTGGAAGGCCGAGTGCGGCGAAAGCGGTTGCTGCGGTTCGCGAGGCGCACGGTAAAGCGGGGTCGGGTGATTTCACTGCGCTCATGAGGAAAATGAATATGGCACTGCGGAAATACTCTACTGAGGAGCGGAAGCGGGTTAAAGCTACTCTGTCTCACCTGGATGATGCGGTAACGGTTTTACAGCAGGAGGTGATGAGAAATCCCTACTGCTCCGCCCGGAAGGAGGAGCTGAAGGTCAAGGAATCCCAGCTGGCGGCGTACCTCGCCTCGGAGCAGGAGAGGGTCTCGCTCATGGCGGGGGTCAAGGAGCTGCGTGAGGGGGAGTTGCCTGGCAAGCTCATGTCTGCGAAGGTCAAAACACGGAAGGAGAAGACAATGATCACGTCGCTGCAATGGAAGGGAACGGTGCGGAAGGACTCAAGCGGGATACTGGAAGCTGCCTCTGAGTTCTATGCGGAGTTATTCTCGGAACCTACCCCGACTGCGGACAGCACGTTTTGGCCGGTCGCCCCTGACAGAAGACTGAGGGAGGCGCAATCGCTGCTGCTGGTAGCGGACTGGTCTGAAGCGGAGGTGAAGGAGGCTCTTGACGGCATGGCGAAAGGCAAGTCTCCCGGTGCTGACGGAATCCCGAAGGAGTTCTTCAGCCAGCACTGGGATTCGCTGGGGGGCGACGTGCTTGGCTTCGTGAAGCAGTTTGAGGAAACGGCTGTCCTTCCTCCCGCTGCCTTGGAGGCTGTCACTGTCTTGCTGCACAAGAAAGGCGCGAAGGACCAGGTGCAAAACTACCGGCCGATCACGCTGCTCAACAGCACGTACAAGTTAGTAGCGCGGGTGCTGGCGAACAGGATGCGGAAAGTGCTGCACAAGGTCATTTCGGAGGAACAGTACGGGTTCTTATCGGGAAGAAGGCTGGCTGATGGGGTCTCACTGATCGCGGACATCGTTGACGCGGCGAAGTGCAAAGTTGCGGATTGGTACTTACTTCTGGTGGATTTCCAGAAGGCGTTCGACTCGGTTTTTCGAGAATACCTTTTCGGCACGATGGCGAGGATGGGTTTTCCGCGGAAGTTCGTACAGTGGTGCGAAGGTCTCCATGCTGGATCAACAACAAGGCTGTTGCTGAACGGCTGGTTGGGGGAGCCGGTGGCGGTCAGGAAGGGAGTACGACAGGGCTGTCCGCTGGCGCCTTATCTTTTCCTTTGCGCGGTGGAGCCTCTCTGCCAGGAAGCAATAAGGAGGAAGCTGGGAATCAGTAATCCGTACGGGGATCGGCTTGCATACCTGGGGTACGCTGACGACACCACGCTGGTGCTCAAGGGGAAAAGGCAGATTGGCCGGGCGGTGAAGCTGCTGAACGAGTTCGGTGAGATGTCGGGTCTTCGGGTGAACAGCGACAAGTCTGCACTTCTACCCCTGGGGAAGAACCTGCGCAAGAAACCAGACAAGTCGTCGAGCTATTCCTGGAGTCCAGCTTCCCTTCGTGCATCGGTGTTTCGTCGGTGTGGGAGGTGGAGCAGGAGATGTTGCTTTTTAATCGTCGGCTGCTTCTGAACGGGAAAACACATGCGGGGCGGCAGAAGGCGGCTAAGTCACTGAAGCGCTCGGTGATGGGGGACTTAGTCAAGGTTGCTGTGGACGGTTCGAGATCTCTGAAAACTCCACAGGAGCTCGAGCGGGCTTTCGGAGGTTCTGAGGGAGCGAAGCTGGCGAAGAGGATTTTTTATGCTGCTCCGGACGAGTGGAAACACATGCTCATGGCGACGGTTACGGCGCGCGCAGTGCTAATGGCCTCTAAGTTCGTTCTGCGGACGGGAACGAGTTATGGGGTCTGGAGGATTGAGAGTGTGGAAGGCGAAACCCTGGTTTGCCGTGCCATCAAGTGCTTCCGGGGGGTCTTGGAGGAAGCGGAGGAGAGGATGCGCATTATCCTGCCACATGAGGTGGTACCTGCAGTGGTCAGGGATGGTCGGTTTCTTGGCTCGGCGGGTGCCCCCAGGGCAAGGCTGTTGTGTTCCCCCATCTGGGAGGGTGAGCGGCCGGCGCAGCTAAGGAGACTCAAGGAGGGTTTTAAGCGCTTTGGCGGAAAACCGAAGCAGCAGTCCACGTGGGAGGAGTCTCTCGGCCGTTCGATCGACTGGGGGAGGGTGATTGGTGTGAGGGATTCACCAGCTCTTCCGAATCGTGCGCGTGACGTGATGCTCCGGATCCATAGCCGGAACATGCAGGTGGGGGAGCGGCTTTATTTCCTTGGCGCCGGGGTCGCCTGCCCGCACTGTGGAGAGAAGGAGACACTGGAGCACGGGCTATTTCTCTGCCCACGCATTCAGCCGGTGGTACGGGCGCTTTTGAAGGCTCTCCACATGCTGAACCCGCATCGGAAAATTGAGTCTTCGTGGGATATGATCTTCAAGAAGGAGGGTACAGCTTCGGGTTTCCCCGAGGCTACAATCACAGCAATCGCGTTCCACCGGATTTGGGTCGAGAGGTGTGACGCGGTTTTCGAGCGCAGCAAATTCCGGGCGAGAAGGGCTCTGCGGAGGATCGCGGCGTCTTTCCAGCTGCATGTCAGGATCTACAAGCGTGCTAAGGCGGTGTCTAAGAGGCTCGGCGCCATTCGTCCTGGTTTGGATGATGACGAGTGCCGGGTCTTGGGTCACATCATGGACAGCTCAGTTCAACCTGCCATGTGGTCCAAGGGTTTCATGGCCATCTGGTCGAACCCGAGGGCTGCTTTCCGTCCCCCTTAGAGGATCAGGATGGGTACGGAGGGAGCACTTCCCCTAGGCCCATCAGCTACAGTTACGACTGCCGATGTATTGTTGCACTTATAGTGTTTCTTTGCATCAAAAAAAAAAAAAAAAAAAAAAAAATGGCTGGAACAACAAGAATACGGTAACATTCTATTGGTGATTACCCCATTCCAAGGCTAAGGTTGATAGAAAGCGCAAGCATACTACCTGTTAAGGGGGGGTTTACTGTTCCCTTTGAACAGTACTTTCCAACTCCATCCTTATCCTTATCTTCTTGGATTTCCTAGTGCCACGTGGCACTCTACTTTTCTTGCTTCTACTTTCTAGTCCCACGAAGTACTTTCCATCATTCGATCTTGCATGCTATATCAACCTTGCTTGTATTCCCCAATATCAACCAATTCTCCTTCAACTCTTCAATTACTCAGTAACACTTTCGCCTATTTCGCCAATAGTTCTTTCGCCAAAGTCTTCCGCCGCGTTTTCATCCTCGACTTAGTCGACCCCGCTATTCTTTAGCGGATTTAGGCCAAGGGGCCTAACACTTGGTATCAGAGCCTTCGCGGGGAGCGACTTCCAACGAGCGACCGTCGACGACGAGACTACGACGCCATCGTCCCGCGGTGCCGACTTGCAGACTTGGAGTCGTCGAGCCGACATGGATGAAACCATGACCGCTGTCCCCAACGACATGGGCAACACGCTTGCTCAGCTCATGCGCCAACTCGAAACGTTGACGCTGGAAAATCGTCAGGTACGGGCTGAAATGCAACAGCTTCGTGAATTCGCGTCAATTTCTCATGGTCATGCCGCACCATCTCCTGCACCCAACACGTCGACTGGCGCGGAAGCGCTGCCGGAACGTCGAAGCGCGCTCAAGCCGCAGAAGCCCGAGCCGTTCGACCCAAGTCAACGCGACGCGAACATTCGGACGTGGATCTTCATGCTGAACAACTACTTCGCCGCGAGCGGGGGGCAAGAGGCGGACGCGCAGCAGCGGATCGAGTACTCCGTTACGCTGCTGAGGGGTCCGGCCTTGGAGTGGTGGCGCCAACTCACGCAAACTGCTGTAAGAAGGGCTCATTTGGACGGGCATCAACAGGGTAAGGGGCATGCTGCTGCAACTTCGAGCTTAGGGAGTTTAGCTTTGGGTGTTACCACGGTTCCGACAACATGGGAAGGATTTGAAGCGGCGCTGAAGAGTAGGTTCGACTTGGTGAATGCCTCCGAAGCTGCTAGGAAGCGTCTGCGTCATTTCCGACAGATAGGAAACGTCCAGGAGTACACACGACGGTTCTTCAGCATCTGCAACGAGATAGACGATATCACGGAAGTAGAGAT